CTTCCTTCTGAGGAGTGGCTGGTGAGTTTGAACCTCCAGCCTTCTGGTTAGCAGTCAAGTGCCTTAGGCACTATGCTACCAGAAGTTGATAGAAATCTTCAATTTCCTCATCTTTGGCTTTGGTAGTTGTGAACAGATTTGAATAATAGTAACTGGTCTTCCTTATAGGCATATGGATATTATCCTATCACTGACAGTATTGTACTTCAGGTTAGTTGTTGAAACAGTCTTTTGATGATGAATGCCACACCACTCCTCTTCAATTGTCATTCCTGGCATAGTCGATCATATGGTTGTGATTCAAAATGGCCAAAACCAGTCCATTTCAGCTGATTAATGCCTAGGGTATCTATCTTTATGCATTCCATTTCATTTTTGACAACTTCCAATTTTCTTTAGATTCATACTTTCTACATTCTATGTTCCAATTATTAATGGATGTTTGCATCTATTTCTACCCATTTTGAGTCATGCCACATCAGCCAATGGAAGTCCTGAAAGCTTTACTCTATCTGTATCACTAAGGTCATCTCTACTCTGAGGAGTCAGCTCTTCCCCAAATTTTGTGTGCTTCTGACCTGAGGTGCTCATCTTCTCACACTATACTGAACAATGTTTCAGGGCTATCATAAAGTTTTCCAGTAATATATCAGACAGTGTTTCACTGCTATTCATAAGGTTTTCACTGGCCAGTTGTTTGAGATGTGGATGGCCTCTTCCTTTTTCCATGTGTGTCTTAGCGCAGAAGCTCCACTGAAACCTGTCCACTATGAGTGTCTGCTGGAATTTTGCAACACTGGTGGCATAGCCTCCAGCCTCATAGAAACACATAAGCCACCACACGATGACAAACTGACAAGTTTGTCTCCCTTAGTTGTTCCTAATAGCTCTGTGCCTGAATACCTTGGGCACTGGCCTTAAAATAGAGTTGCGCCCCCCCCCCCCAGGTTGTAGTCACTTCTTGGCCACAGCCAGCTACCCAGAGGGAGCGAGTAGTTGGATCTGTGGACTCAGGACCATAGTCACAGGGGACATCAAGTGCAACTGGCATAACATACTACACAAAAACATTGTTCCACATCCTACTTTGGCCAATAGCGACTGGGATCTTAAAAGCTTGTATGCAGCCATCTAGATGCAACGCTGGGTCTCTCCTCATCCAGAGCAAAGAAGAATGAAGAAAACCAGACACATGGAAACAATTAGTCCAAGCAACTGGTATACCATGCAATCCTCAACCTATACAACTATATAAGACCAGATACTAGATACTATACTAGATGGTTCCTGGCTACCACTAACAACCTCTCGGAGGGGGATCTATGTAGGAGATCCTGGATAGAGTTAGAGAACAATGTGGAACAAAACTCAAAATCATTTAAAAAAAAAAAAAAAACAGGACCAGGTTTGGTCTGATGGAACCACTAAGACTATGGCCTCTAGTTGCCCTTTAGGTCTGGAATTGAACCCACTCCTGTGGCTTCCAGCCAAACAAAAGACAGGCATATGAACTGAAAATTTACATGAGCTAGATACACTCCTTTGAGAGATCAATCAAGGGAGACTGTAAGGGCTGTGTATGCATAGGGAGACAAATCAGGGTGCAGGAGTGCATGAGAGGGAAGGACATAGGGAAGAGGTAACTATGAGG